GCGATCCGTTGCCGGTCACGAAAAAAGACAAAAAAAAAAAAAAAAAAAATGGGTTCTACCTATCTAATAAGATTTTATTACCAAATTTTCAATGATTCTGGGAGGGTGAATTGTCACACACTGGTATACAGGGCAGGAAGACTACTATGCCATTACACTCAACCAAGAAGACTACGTGTTCCAGAGATGAACTTCTCGAATCACAGAGTAAGGACTTCAGGGAACTAGCTCTCCCATGAAAATAACAAAAAACAATTTGAGTTGGCAGAAGAAAGAGTAAGTAAATGTGAACATAAGGTCAAAAGACATTATCTACTTTGAGGTGCAGAAAGAAAAAAGAATGAAGAAACATAAACAGAGTTCCAGAGACCTGTGGGACACCATCAATTGTAGCAACATACATATATATGGAGTCCCAGGAGAGGGAAAGGGCAGAAAGAAGATTTAAATAATGGCCAACAACTCAAAGTTAATAAAAAATATTAATCTACACAATGAACTCTAATTGGAACTCAACAAACTCCAAGAAGAATAAAGTCAAAGAGATACACACCTAGACACATCATAATCAAACTGACAAAAGTTAAACAGAAAATGTTCAAAGCAGCAAGAAAAAAAAAATGACATCACATTGTACATGTTGAGCTCCTCAATAAGATTAATGGCTGACTTGTCGTCCAAAAACCATGAATGCAAAAAGACAAATGGGATGACATCTTCAGAGTGCTGAAAAGGGCCGACCCCATGGCTCACTCGGGAGAGTGCGGTGCTGGGAGCGCAGCGGTGCTCCCGCCACAGGTTCGAATCCTATATAGGGATGGCCGGTGCGCTCACTGGCTGAGTATGGTGCGGGTGACACCAAGCCAAGGGTTGCGATCCCCTTACTGGTCACAAAAAGGAAAAAAAAAAAAAAGACTGCTAGCTAAGAATTCTATGTTCAGCAAAACTCTCCTTCAAAGATTAAGGGGAAATTAAGACATTCTGAGACTGACAAACAGTAAGAGAATTTGTCACTAGTAGACCTGCCCTATAAGAGATACTAAAGGAATTCCTTCAGGCTAAAATGAAAGCACAATCCACACAAACAAAGGGCATGAGTAAAGGTAACTATATAGGTAAGTATAAAAGACAGTATACACGTATTTTCATTTATAACTCTTTGATTTTCCTCTATTACAAGGCAACTTCATAAAGCAATTAAATTATAAAAACTGTGTTCGTGGACATATGATGTATAAAGATGTAATTTGTATAACAATAATACCACAAAATACAGTGAATGGAGGTATATTGGATCAAAGTTTTATATACTATTGAAATTACATTAGCATCAAAAACAAACTAGATTATTTTAAAATGCTAACTATAGGGGCTAGCCAGTTTGCTCACTTAGGAAAGCGTAGTACTGATAATACTAAGGTCATGGGCTTGAATCCCCTTACCCACCAACCACCAAAAAAAAAAAAAAATGCCAACTATAATCCCCAGGGCAACCACTAAGAAAATTACTCAAAACCAATAAAAAAACAGGATAATTAAAATGATACTCTAAAAAAATACATAAAAGAAGAGAGTAATGGAGGAGAGAAACAAAATGGCAGATGTAAATCTAACTTATTAATAATTACATTAAATGTAAATGGGTTAAACACTCCATCAAAACGCAGAGATGGCCAAAACTGTTTACAAAACATGCTGTTTATAAGAGACACATTTTAAATAAAAAAAGAATATAAGAAACACATTCTAGACTCGAAGAAACAAAATAGATTAAAAGCAAAAGGATAGAAAAGATATATCATGAGAACAGTAACTGAAAGAGAGCTGAAGTGGCTATACTAATTTCAGACAAAATAAACTTTAACACAGACATTGTTACTAGAGACAAAGGACATTTTATAATGATAAGGGCCACCTATGAGGAAGAATTAACAATTATTTATGCACCTATCAAGAGGGTCCCAAAATACAGAAGCAAAAACTTGTAAGAACTGAAGAGAGAAACAGACAATTCAACTATAATAGAAACTTCAATGTCTCACTTTCAATAATGGATAGAACAGGCATTCTTTTCAAGCACACATGATACATTCTCCAGGATACATCATATACTAACCCATAAATAAGTCTCAATAAATTTAAAAGAACTGAAATCATAAATTCTCCAAATACAAAAGAATAAAATCAGAAATCATTAATATAAGGAAATTTGAGAAAGTC